GTAAGCGGCTTGTTCAAGATCATAAAACTGCTAAGAGGTGGAGCTGAAACTTGAACCTTGTCTAACTTATTTTCTTAAACTGTACTATCTGGATTGTCACATTGTTGACAAATCATTGAAAAATACACTTTAAAAAGTAACATACAATAAGCAGGCATTGAAGATATGTTCGCTGCCAATTTAACATGGTGATTAAAAAAATCTTTTGGGTGGGTTCCTTCGATCAGCAGTGTTTCTTGAGCACTCCTTGTATAACAAGCTCTCTGTAGGGAGCCTTGCTTAGAGAACAAAGATATACACACATGATCTCAGTGAAAGGCCACTAAGGTACTGTCACCGAACAGTGAGTTGAACATGCACGTAACAGGCTGAATCCACATGGACCTGGGAGAGAAGGTCGGGAAGCCTCCATTGCACCCTTTACCTGGTTCGGGAGACAGTGTGGTATCTAACAAGTGCTGGGTTCAAACCTTGATCTCACCTTTCTGCAGTATGACCTTGACTGAGTTTCTACTTTGAGCAGCAGTGTTCTCAAGCATAAAAGGGAGATACTGATGGTCTCTTCACAGACAGGCCATGAAAGGCCTTGTTTCTGATACAGGTATCTGTTAGTTCAATGTTAGTTCTTAAATATATTATTGTGCAAGGTAATGTCAGACAAACACGCAAATAGCCTTGAGCTTTTTGATTCAGCACTTGCGGATTTCCCCCTAGGTTCCTGGTTCCTGTGCAGCCTCCCCCGACCCCCATGAGCCTTTGGTTATCTGGAAAACGCACAAAAGGAAATTGTGTGTAGCTGCCACCATGAAATACTCAGAAAGTCACCTCTGAGGAAAACCAACACTTTCAAGAAAAAACAGACACAAAGTTCAAAAAAAGAAAGCTTTGCGATTGGCCAGTTGCCCATCTGGAAGTCCTCAAGGGTAATTAATGATTTGGTGAACTGACTAAATGACTAAGTCAGTTTCTGCAGTGACTCCAAAAGCTGAGGTTGATGAGGAAGCAGAAGGAAAACAGCTTTAACCCGTGGAGGACGCGTGCAGGTGGGAGTGGGGCCCATGCTCCCGGGCCGGGAAGTCCTGCAGGCAGGTTGAGGATGGGGTACCCCAGGCCCAGCTCCCCTGTCCACAGGGCTGGTTGGGCCACCTGCCATCCAGCCTCCACCTGTCTGCAGCAGCTGTGAGCTCGAGGCCCAGCCATCTCATCCTAGCAGCTTCCTATCTCATTTTTTTTTTCTACTGTTGACCAAACTTTGGGTCACAGTGCTCTTCAGTTTATAAAATAATATTCCAGAATATATTTTCTAAGACATCCAGTCCATCAAACATGCAAACTCTAAGGCCCATGGCTTGTTAAAATATGTTACGCTCATTTTAAAATGGTCAGGGCATTTTATTCTAGAAAGCCTTTTTCTCTTGGTCCTGTTTCACATGGTGTCATTGCTTTGGCAAGACAGTCCAAACATGGTGTGATACAATGCTATTTTATGAGTTGTTAAGAGGAGCCAGTGTCTGATGTGAGAGATAAAGGGAAGGGAAGGTTAAGGTGGCAATTTCTGGGTCACCCCAGGGCCTGATTCTGAGGTGGTTACATGACACGACTGGAGGCTGCCAGCATTCATAGGTGGTAACATAGGCCTTTTTGTAGTTGTGTAGACTTGGGATTCTGCTAGAAGGGAAACAGTATGGAGAAGCCAAAAAATCAAATCTTAGATCTGACGATAGAAGCATCCCAGTTGGAGTCTGGAGAGCACTGTTTGAGTGCTGTCCCTACCACCAGTGGTGTGACCTATGACCTCTTTAACCTTTAGGCTCCTCATTTGAATAAAGGTACTCATGCAAATACCATGGATTGTTTTGCCAGCTGTTAAAATGCTTCACAAATGTTTGGATGGCTACTTGTATTTGTATGTATACTCTGATGATATATATTTTTTAAGTTTTTTGTTTTTTTTTTTAATTGGGGAACAGTGTGTTTTTCCAGGACTCATCAGCTCCAAGACAAGTAGTTGTTTCAATCTAGTTGTGGAGGACACAGCTCAGCGGTCCAGGTGGGGATCTAATCGGCAACCTTGGTGCTATGAGCACCGCGCTCTAACCAGCTGAGCTAACTGGCGGCCCCCTCTGATGCTATTATTACACTGAAATTTTATTCTGCATCTTTAAGCAAGTGATTTAACTCTCTAGCTATGGTACATCAAGGCCAATATATTTGTAGAGGGGGAAAAAAAAATCACTGCTCCAGTGGCAAAAATACAAATCTGAGGGTTAGAGAACTTAAGTTTTATTTCTTCTACTTCCAATACAATTTGGAGAACTGTGATCAGGCTTTAAAAACAAGTGAATTAGTCACTGGACCAAGAGATGCTGGAAACTGCATTATCGTGTGGTATTTCTGTTGCATCTAGGTGTCCAGGTCTTCCTGCATGGCACTTTACGAGATTTCTGTTTGTGAATCGTTGCGGTGTTGCCGTGCCCCTCATTTTGGAAGGGAGGCAGATAGACGCGGAGAGTTTGCAGGTTCTCCTGGCCTGTGCTGCTTCCGCCGCAGCAGGGGCTGAGGTGCCGTGGTGGCCGGCGGTGCCGCTGGAGATGGAGCTGGAGCTGCACTGCATGCTCACGTGGCCGTGTCTTGTGATGCTGTTCCATCTGGGAATAAGTGCTGATGGGATTTTTTTTTGATACACACCTTGTACAACCAGGAAGTTAGAAATGGGCGGGAACAGTCATGGCTCAAGCTTCTGGGTCTTGATCACCTGAGGGAACCAACTCGTAAGAGGCCTTTCCCAGAACACACGTCCAAGAGAAGCTCGTGTTGTCTCCTCAGATGGTCACTGCTTACTCTCTCTCTTCTTTGTTTCTGTCTTGCTGTTCTTCTCATTCTTCTCTTTGTTGTCTCCCTTTCAGTTCTTCTCTTTCCTTCTTTCTTTTTTCTTCTCTCCCATCTTCACTCTCTTCTGTTCTCATTTTTGGGGGGCCAAGGGGCTAAAGGACCTGCCTGATCAGCTGCGTGGCCCTTCCCTCTGATGCTCCTTCATGGCTTTTCCTGGCTGTCCTTGACTCTGGCCTGAGTGCTCCCACCCACAGTGGGTAAATGTATTCCTCACAGGGAGCAATGGCTACAGATTTTCAATGACTGCTCTGTTGAGATTAGTTTATCTGACTATGGAAAGGGACCTCACTGGGCAGAGGAGACATTTAGTCGTCTCGTCTTTACAAACCCAGAAGTTCGGCAACTTCCACCAGGGAGCTCTGCTAAGCTTGTGTCTCAGGCATAGATATATCCTTCCTCTGATGACGAAAGCTGTGGTCTTTCTGCTTATAGATCGAGGAAACTCGGCTCAACATTGACAAGATCTCGGAGCACGTGGAGGAGGCTAAGAAGCTCTACAGTATCATTCTGTCTGCACCAATTCCAGAGCCAAGTGAGTGTTTACTCAGAGCTGAGGCACCCAGCAAGGACCCTTGGCATTGGAGCTGAGTCATTCTGGCACTAGATGACACCAGCGTACATGTCACATCATCTTCCCTTCCCCTTTGCCCTATCTGAGCTCATGCCGCCTAGCCAGTCAGTTCTTCTGGGATAAATACTGCTCTGGGTGATGGGCGCCTGAGAAAGCCACACCTCTTCTGTTGATGTTTCATCTCACAGAGCAATTAGCCTTTTCTAATGGATTCCATCTGCCTTTGTTTACCCAGAAACCAAAGATGACCTAGAGCAGCTCACCGCTGAGATCAAGAAAAGGGCCAACAGCGTGCGGAACAAACTGAAGAGTAAGAACGGAACAAAGGGAACAAGCCCGCCCCCACTACCATCTGTCTCACATCCGCAGGGTCCCGCGCTTCTGGAGCAAAACTCATCCTCATGGAAGTGACACTGCTTGTTCCATCTTTGCTAGTGGTTTGGGCACTGTCCCTGAAATGACCTATTATAGCCCCAGAAATTTTACCTATCCTTGACCATGACTGTAGTTGAAAGAACACAGAATTGAAGTTAGGAGATGAGAATTGACGTGTGCTCTCAGCTGCTGAGTAGTTGTGTGACTTTATCCTTTACCTTAGTCCCTCGACTTTTCTCTCGCTGGTCCTGTTTCCCCAGCACCGACATACATGTGAACAGTAATGGTAGAGATTTTTTTATATAGATGCAAAAAATGTGATTCAGCCTCTAGACATTTCTTGGGGCGCTAGGTATGTCGCTCTTCCATTATCCCCAGCCCCACCTCACAGTTTAAGCCTTGTTCAGTGAAGCCACCGTCATGGATTTAGTCCCTTGGGGGCCCAGAAGGTCTCAGTTCTGTGTCTGTGGTCTGCACTCTTGCCCAATGTATTCGGTGAATGCTTATTATTGGTCAGAGAGTGAAAACAGCATTGCTCAGCCAAATTTATCATTTCTTCCCAAAAAACAAATCGTAACACCTATTTTTGTGGGGGGCGGAGGTGGGGGTCATGAGTCGCAGCTTCCAACAACAGCAATGACAGTGTGCTTGCCCCTGTGCCAAACACTCCGTGTGTGTTCTCACTTACTCTCCACGTCAGGATTGCGAGGGAGGTACTATTATTTATTTCATCCTACAGATGAGGGACCAGGACCACTAAGAGAGGTGGAATGTCTTTCCCAAAGTCACACAGCTAATAAGTGGCAGGACAAAGACTCTCGCTGTTAACTGCTGTGCTAAGATGTATTCAGAGAGTACGGGGAAATAGTAAGAGGTGTGGAACGCACGCCCCGTGGCTCACACGTGAGCTGACCTGAGTTTGTGCCTGCCTCTTGTTCCATCTCCATGAGCTGGGTGTGTAAGAATGAGCGAGGTGTGCATTGCACGGTGTGTTTCTTGGTAGAGAGCAGCGGTGTGTTGCTACAATAACCAACCTGACTCTCCTCTCCAGGCATGGAGAGGCATATTGAAGAAGATGAGGTCCGCTCGGTAGCAGACCTCCGGATTCGGAAATCCCAGGTAGGACTTTCTCTGGTCTTAACAGTTGTCTAGTTCAATCTTTTAATTTTCCGCCCCCATGGCTGAGGATTCTCCCCCCCCCCCACGCCCTTTTTCTTTTTAAATACAATCCTTATTTGGAACTCAGTTGAAGAGGTGGTGAGGCGGAGCTGCTCAGGTGAAAGCAGAGGACAGGGCCAGAGTCCAAACCTCTTGGCCCCTCTCTCACACTCTCCATAGAGGCCCCTGAAGATTTTTCTAGGGCTCCCAGAGCACAGCCTAGGGTTTCGTAGGCCTCCTTGTTTTATGGGTGAGGAATTGAAGTCTTCTCTCTAAAGATTGTTTGTCATTCGATGTCTAGTTTGGTGTTCAGCCCTGTGGTGGTCATCAAAGATATGGTCCTTGTCCTTAGAGAACTGGTGTGATGTTCAAGTGTAAGGAAACTATTATGTAAGACCCAACAGCAGGGCAGTGTGAGAAGACACAATCAAATGCATGTGCTCTCAGCATTAAAAGATCTCAGGAAGACTAGCGGGTGGCCAGAGGAGGCTGGGCCTTGGCTGGGCAAGGGTGCCCACGTGGACAGGCTCAGGGGTAGAGGTTCTCCGAAGAGGCAAGGAGGCAGGAGCGCGCATGTGTGTGTGTGTGTGTGTGTGTGTGTGTGTGTGTGTGTG